AGAGAGAGAGAGAGAGAGAGAGAGAGAGAGAGAGAGAGAGAGAGAGAGGGAGGGGCTGGTGGTAACCCACCTGGATACGGCTGCTTCCTTCGCCTTGTCCCGCTGCTGCGACCCTCGGCTCCTCGCTGCCTCCTGCTGCTGTTTGAAGCTGCACAGGGTATGGCTGAACAACGACGTGGGGGGCTGCTTCCTGCTCCGACACACACGAGAAGACGACGACGACAGTGGCGAGGGCGACACACGACACGTGTAGGGCTGAGGTCGACTGCCGGGATGGGGCCGGCGTGGGACAGGGCCGAGTAGTTCAAAAACGAACTACTCGGATTTCCCCGCCCTTTCATTTTTGCGGGGCCCTGCGCAGCCTCAATTTTTTTTTCTCTTTTTTGGCTAACTGGTGGGGTGAAGTGCCTACCGGCCTTGCCCCCCCCCCCCCCCCCAACTTTCGTTTTTTTTGGAGACCCCCCAATTTCTGAATGCGTCGCATGTGATGCGCGCGCATCGTGCGCTCTGCGCGTTGCAGCGCATGTCGCTGCGCCGCATGTATGATGTATATAGTGCAAGTGTGCTGCTTCGGCGGCAAACGGGTGTGTGGGCACTTGGCGTAGAACCACACCAACGTGGCCAACCTTGCATCCTCTATTATATTAGCTATCTAATATCTATACGTTTTTGTTATGGATGGATGATTTGTTATGATTTGTGGAGGAAATGAGAGAGAGAGAATTTGGGGTGCTATAACAACACACTCCTCTATCATGGCATTCATTGTCACAAGCCATGAACTCGCAGTGTTCACTGTGATATGTAAAGCCTCACACTTCGACTTCAAATTTCAATCTCTCTCTCTCTCTCTCTCTCTCTCTCTCTCTCTCTCTCTCTCTCTCTCTCTCTCTCTCCCTAGGCAACGACTGCTCCTCGACTCAACATCTCCTCCAACCCAAACACTGACCGACCTCTCGTCTCATTCTAGAGTGGTCTGCTCCAGCGGTGAGTATTGTTCCGATTCTTTACCACTCTACTTCCCTTCTCCGTCCCTCTCTCTCTCTCTCTCTCTCTCTCTCTCTCTCTCTCTCTCTCTCTCTCTCTCTCTCCCTAGGCAACGACTGCTCCTCGACTGAAAATCTCCT